ATATTCTGTATTTGATATATGAGAAAACTAATGTACCTTTGTAAAGAAAAGCAGATTTTCCTGTTTTAATTTTAGATATTGAGATACTTGTATAAAACTTATAAGGTTAAATATCATTCTTTGAACACCCATGTAAGACCATATTGCTCCAGCACAACCCAGTTCAATTCCTCTCCTCCCAGAGACATCTTTCTCCAGACTTTTTAATATTATTACTTGCTTTCCTTTATAGTTTTTTGTCATTTATAAGTGCCCAGAATTAGTGTGTTAGTGAACTTTCTGTTACTGTAACAAAACAACTAAGTTGACTAACCTAAAAAGAGGCAAAGTTTATTCTGGCTCACGGTTTAGGAGATTTTAGTTCATCAATCTAGAGACTTATTGGTCCCATTGCTCTGGGACTGTGGGGGTATATGGCAGAGAAGACCCATTCACCTCGTGACCAGGGCATGAAAAAAGGAAAAGGAGACTGGATTCCCACCCTCTCTTTTGGGGACTTGCTCCCTGGACCTAAGATCTCCCATTAGGTCCTATCTTTTAAAGGTTCCACCCCCTCCCCATGCTACCACTCTGGGGAATCAAGTCTTTAACACATGGGACTTTGGATGACACCTAGGATCTAAACAACAAGAGTTAGGATTTTGTGGCCGGGTGCAGTGGCACATGCCTGTAATCCCAGCAGCTTGGGAGGTTGAGACCAGAGGATCACAAGTTCAAAGCCAGCCTCAACAATGGCGAGGCGCTAAGTAATTCAGTGAGACTCTGTCTCTAATAAAATACAAAAATTGGACTGGGGATGTGGCTCAGTGTTTGAGTGCCCCTGAGTTTAGCCCCTGGTAACCATCCCCCTTGCAAAAAAAGGATTTTGAGGTGGGTAGTTATGAGTATCTCTAACTTTATTAAAAAATGTTAAACATTTTGTTAGTGACTATACTGGTTTGCGCTCCTGTTATCAATGTATGGTGTTCTCAGTGCTCTTTTTCTTCGCCAACACTAATTTTTTTCAGACTTCAAATATAGTTGGCGCTCCACATCTGGAAATTCTGCATCTGCAGATCTACCAATCTTGGATTGCAAATATTTTTAAAAAATTGCCCCTGCACTAAATATATGCAGACTCTTTCCTGTCATTATTCCATAAACAATATGGTATGCCAACTATTTACATGGCTTTTACATTCTATTAGGTATTGTAAGTAACTAAAGGATGATATAAAGTATATGGGAAGATTGTGTAGATTATATACAATTACTATGCCATTTTATATAAGGGACTTGAGCATCTGCAGATTTTGGAAAACCAATCCTGTGTGGATACCAAGAGATGACCATATTCCTGGTTACTATTGAGAATCATTGTGTGTGTGTGTGTGTGTGTGTGTGTGTGTGTGTGTGTTTATATTTTATATGGATATCTTTTAATAGTACCTGTGGAGTTTTAAAAACATGTTTTCCATTTTCTTCATGTCTTGTAGAATTTATTTATATATTTGCACTAGATATTGGTTGACTGTGTGTTTCAATTAGATTCTGCCACTCCATGGCTTGTCTTTGTTATGTTGTATTTTTAGGGGAAAAAAAGATTTTCAAAATTTTAATGTAGTCATATGTCTACCAGGTTTTTCTCCCTTTTATAGATAGTGCTTTTTTTTTTTTAA